AATACTTAGCTCAGTCACTTGTACTTCACACGCTTAGTACTTAGCTAAATACTTAGATGTGCTAGCTCAGCGCTTAGCAAGTCAAGCTAAGCACTTAGCTGAGATCTCGTTGAGTATTTCTAAATGCAAGGCTTAGTCACTTAGTCAAGACTCTGGTAAGTGCGTTGTCCAGTACTTAGCTGAGTACTTAGCCAGTCCACGTCAACTTTGCATTTACCAAGTCCGCCACATACTTACAAGGACACTGACCCACCCAAGCAAAGGCCATATGCTGACCGCGATTTGCGAAGACGGCGCCGTCATCGTCAGCGGCAGCGGCGTCGGTAGCGTGGAAATGCTCGTCCAAACTCGAAACGCGACGCAAGGGGGAAAAACGCGCGACGCCGCGGAAACATCGCGCGCGCCGAAGAGGCCTCCAAAATGGGGCCCGAGTAGAAGGGGCGCATCGCCGCCGATGCGCGCGCGAAGCATCCGGGGCGTCGGCGATTCATCGGCGACGACGCCGCGAAGGAAATAGGACCCCTTCATCAAAACGCATCGCCGACGCATCGGCGACGCGGCGCCACCCCCCGACCCCGCCAACTTGGGCCCACTTGGGGGGCCTAGGCCGAGGCAGAACACAGCAGGAGGCCTTTGCGCGGCGCGCGGCGCGGGCGGCGCCTGACAGCGGGAGGGCGATGGGGGGGGGGGGGGGGGGGGGGGGGGGGGGCAAGGGCAAGGGGGGCATGCTCTCTCCTCTCTCTCTCTCTTCTCTCTCTCATCTCTCTCTCTCTCTCTCTCTCTCTCTCTCTCTCTCTCTCTCTCTCTCTCACTGTGTGTGTGCGTGCGTGTGTGTGTGTGTGTGTGTTGTCCCTCTCCATTATAGTATTAATATTATGTTGTTTATGTATCCCTCTCTCTCTCTCTTTTATCTCTCTCTGTCTCTCTCTCTCTCTCTCTCTTTATCTCCCTCTCTCTCTATTTATATTTCTCTTTTTTTTGTTCTCTCTCTCTCTCTCTCTCTCTCTCTCTCTCTCTCTCTCTCTCTCTCTCTCTCCTCTCTCTCTCTCTCTCTCTCTCTCTCTCTCTCTCTCCTGCAGGACCCGGCTGGCGCGTGCTCCGCGCCCATGTGGGCCCGCTGCCCTGTTCGGCGCCCCTGCGCCTATCTGGATTTCTGCCGCGCCCGCCAAGCGAACTCCGCTGGCCAACGAGCCCAGAATTTGTTCCCCCGCGCAGCCGCCGACGCAGCCGCTACGCTCAACTTCGCCCGGCGCACGAAGTGGGAAGTGACGGCGCCCCACCATGAAGGAGGCTCCTCGACGCCGAACAACTCCACGAAGTGATACCTCAGGGCGGCGGGCGCCCTGCCGAGGGCCTGGGGCCTACCTTCGAAACGCCGCGCAACACGCTGAGCCAAATCTGCCGGCAACGCGCTAGGAGTTCACAGAAGCGAGGGCAATGTCAATGGCAATGGCGGGGGCGCGAAGATGCCCCCCCGCGCCCCAAGTGCGCCCGCGCTTGAGAGCGCGGCCAGGGGGGAACTGGGGAGACCGAGAAGCGCGGGGAGACGGCAAGAGACGCGCAGCAGATGAGACAAAGATGGGGCAACCAAACTAATTTCCAAGTGAACCACCGCCTAGCGCCTGGCACCCGAATCTGCGCGAGAACTGGCTTCCTGTCGGGCCCGTCGGCGAGCGCGCCGACAGTTGCGGGGGGCGCTGGGGACATCGATTCGAACGAGCCCAAGAAAGACCCCAATCAATAACGGCATCGGCTGATGCGCGAGATCAACCGCTCTAGACGCGGGGGCCTCTCGGAGTCAGTACTGAAGACTAGGGTGGGGAACAATTGCGCGCGGGTTCTCAATGTGCAGGGGCCTCGGGGCACACTCGGCTTCTTTTGGAACTGAGAGCGCGGCCCCCGCGGAGACCTCGGGATGCCCCGCGCGCGCTGCCCGACCATCTGGCGCGGAATGCTGCGAGCCCCAACCTCTGCGAAGATCGCGGTCAGAGTCTCTCTGCGCGTCAGTGGGAATAGAGGGCCGCGGCGATGCAGCGAGTGGCCGGGCAGCCGCTACATCCTCGTCCAAGGCGCTACTGTTAGGCGGGTGCAGCTGCGCGACGCGCGACTAGACAACTAATTAGCCCGCGCGCGTCGCCGGCCGCGCCGCTGCCCGCAAGAGCCGCGCTCAGAGCCTGAATCAGGCGCCCGCGACCGCGACTTCTGCCGGGGGGCCGGCCCCAAACCGCCGAGCGAGCTCCAGGTCCAATCCAGGACTCCCGCATTCCGACCTTCAGATCTCAAGCGGAATCGATGGGCGCTAACTCTGCGGGCCAATAGGTCACCTGCGGCGTCGCTCTGCGGGGAGAAAAACGCGACTGGTTATTCGGCAGATTGGCTGGCAGATTCCGCGCCCCTTCAGATCGGGCCGACGACGACAGCAAATATCACGCCACTCATCGGGCACCCCTGTTTCGCGCCGCGCTCCAGAGGAGAGCGGAATCACAGCATCCAGTAAACGCGGCGCAGACGAGAATATCAAAACGCGCAGCCCGAACAACGTGAATTTGCTAGCAAGCGACTTCACGCCCCCCAGGGCCCAGCGCCCCGGGCCGCGAAAGACCGGCGGGGAAGCGGCTCGCACGTCGAGCGGGCAGATCTCGAAGCCCCCCCCCCGCACATCGCGCCGCGCCCAAGCGGGGCGGACTCCTGGCCCGAGATGTCATCGGCAGCGTTGCGGCCAGGAGCTACGCCTCGCCGGGAGGGGGCGGCAGCGCGATCCCCTGCGCGCGCCTGCGGACGGACGACAGCCGCGGCAATCGTCTTCTTGCGAGAGCTCGGCAGAGATGTCGGACGAGTGCTCGCATGTGCTGGGCAACAGTGTCATCTCTGTAGCCGCCCTGCGCATCTCCCCCGGGCCAGGAAGCGGCCACGCGCCCGCTTGACTCGGCGGCGGAGGGCGCCGCGAAAGATCAGGCGACGGCACGTCTCGCGGAACAGCCTCTGCACCGCCGCTCCCGCCTTCCAGCGACTACGTGGCGCCCGCCCACCCTGGGCGCAATGTCTCTCAGATCGTCAACGCGCTCGGCGGATGCCTCTTCGCAGAGCCGCCGCTCTCTGCGATGGGGGGCCTCCTGGAATCAACCGTCGGGGGCGGCGCGCGCAGTTGCGGGCGCGCCCCTCCTCTGCGAAGCCCCCCCCCCCCCCCCCCTCGCGTTCAGCTAGATGCGCGGCGCGCGCCGGGCCCAGATCTTCGGCTCTGCTGCCCATCGCGCAGGCCCGCGAGCGGCGCAAACTTGCGAGCGCTAACCCACCCCGCTGCGCGCGATCGAGGCGCTTGACCTGGGCTTCTACGGTGGCCTGCGGGAGACTGCCGGATAGGAAACCCGCCTCCTCCTCCGCCAGCCTCGCCCGGGCATTTCTGCGTCGGCGCCCGCGGGAGCCACTGGGATCTAGTCAGACCCCGTCTTTCGCATCCACGCGCTGCCGCGCGGCTGGGTAGGCGCGAGCGGCGCGCCGATTGACGGCGAGATCGGCGCTCGCGAAGAGCGCGGACCACGGCGACTATCTACCAGGCCTCATCTTGCAACGGCGTTGCCCAGTTGAACTCCCTCCTCCTCCGCGCCCGAAGTCCAGCTTCACAGCGGTGAGGGCGTTGCGCGAGCCTCTCGCCCATGTCGCCATCCAGCTCCATCTCCAATAGAATGGCGCCCACTTCCTCCTTTAACTCAGGCTCGCGCGCGCGCGTCGAGACGGATCGCGGCCGGTGCGAGGGGCAGCGCGCGCCCCCAACCCAAGAATGACAAATGCACGCTCACTTCGCCACTGTGATTCCCAATGCCCAATCGCCCCAGCCATCGGCCGAGATACTTTGAAATCTGCACGACAACAGTTGGCGCGCATCCGATCGAGACGAACCATCGATGCGAGATGGCCGCCCGCCTCCTCGTTGCGCGTAGATCCTGTTCGACTTCGCAAATCAAACATATGCCCAAAACAGCCCTGCGCATCCGTAGGAGTTCGCATGAGCGGCCCCAACGCAATGCTGGCGAGTCTCGGATGCGGCGTTCGCAAGGGCTGGGAAGGCGAGAACGAAATTGGTACAAAAGACCTCGCTTCTAAGGCCGGCAGAACGAGGGAACAAAATGCACGCCGCTAGCTTGGGGCACTCCTGCGGGGCCCCGACACGTGAGAACGTGGCAACGCCCGCTAGTAGCGACAACGGTACACTTAAACATGCGGAGTTGCTCGGAGCATTCAGGTGGTAGCGCGGTCAAAATGCCTCCACCTCGCGTTTTTTTTTTGTCGGAAGCTCCTAGGGAACTAGTATCCAAGGAAGCCGCGCTCCACCGTTACAGGGTCCCGAACCACGCACTTCTTGACAGCAGATAACGTCGTGCGAGTTCAGAAAATGGCGAAACGTGGCGTACCTTCTCTCTTTGGGGAAATGCAGCGCCGAAGATAGCCTTCGTATTCCAAGTACATGCCACAAATGTCTGCAAGGGGTAGAAGGCCTACTGAAACTCCTGCCGTCCTTTGGGAACGTGAAATTGTCGACCAAATCACCCATGTCCTCGCACTGGAAAGCGACACTATCGGAGGTGCCATTTTGCCCCGACCTTGCAGAATTTCCAGACCTCAACCTCGTCCGAATAGTAAAGAGTGTCCTTGTACGCGTTGGCCCCCTAGTCTACTAGCAATTCCATCCTGCCAGCGGTTGGTCTCGAGTAGACTTTGCTTGACAGACCTCCACCAGTGACTGGGGAAAACGCCTCATTTCCTGATCTCGGACGCTTCGTCGGCGCCCGCGCGGATGGCGGGCACCTGCTGATACCTCAGGTCGGTCCAATCGATGACCGTCTGGCGCACACCAATCGAGTCCTTGAACTGCTGAGCCACATTCTTGATAGGGAAGATACACATGTACGGGAACGGCTCAAACATGGAAAGGTGGAGGACGAGGAGGACGAGGAGGAGGGGGAGGAGGCTCCGTTTTGCACCCGCCCCCCCAGCAGGCAAACCTGACGAAGAAGGCGCTCTCGCACTTCCCGCGCGCCGCGGCCTCCGCCGCCCGCGCCGCGCCCAGGTCCGTTGGGGCCAGCTGCAAGGTCTGCGCCCGCGCCTTGTAGTGCATGTAGACCTTCTTTGGCGAGCGAAAGGAAAGTGGGAAGGACAATGACAAGGCCTTCACAGAAGGCGGCGGGGCTTCTCAGAAACCCTCGGGTCTTCTGAGAAGTGTTCGGCGTCTTCGGGGAGGGCTCAGAACACTTCTCGGAAGGCTGGACGACTTCCGAGCCTTCGACAAGGCCCGCCCCTTCTCACTTCCCCACCTGGCTTGCCGCCGACTTCTCTGAGGGAAGACGAACAAGGGGAGGAAGAGGGAAAGGCTCGCGGACAGCCGATGACCCGAGTACCACACTTCTCGTCTCAACGCAGTGCTAGGGCTTCAGCGTAGGTGGGTAGCCTGCGGCCAGCGAAGGGGCCCAAGGACACACACACACACACACACACACACACACACACACACACACAAATCGGCACAAATCCCAGGATACCCCATATCTTCAATCAGTTTCTGAATATTCGTAAGTCCCATCTGTGTCTCGAAAGGCCTTTGGCACCCATGCCGAAACGTTTCGAGCGGGGCTGGCCGTCGAAACTGATTGAGGATGGGCCGGGCATGACCGCAGAGGCAAGGATGCAAGAGTACTCTTGGGAAGTCGATAACTCTTCCTAGCAGTGTCGACTGTAATTTCCCCTCCCGAGCCAGGGGGAAGTAAGAAGGAACAGGCCTTCTGAGAAGGCCTCCAACTTTTCACCTCCTCCCCCCTGGTTCGCCGTCGAACGGGAGTGGGGAGGAGGATGGGGTGGGAGTGCATGCGGGGAAGGAGGGTGGGAGCGCGGTGCGACGAGCTTTCGTCAACCCTATCTGCCTGTCGCTCCTTCCGAGCCAAGGGACAACAAACACACGTCCAGGCCGGGACGATCATCCTGGCAGTACCCTTGGGGAGTCGATCATCCTGGATGTTCGTCGCCCCTGCCTGTGTCTGTGCCCATGTTCTCCTCGAGAGCCCATTGGGGGGGGGGGGGCAACACAAAAAGTACGCCCGTGCCAAGGACGCGCCCCCGCCGCAGCACCTGAGGCCAGAATGCAGAGCCCCCGCGCGCCCATGCGCCCACACTAGAACACGACCTCGGCAAGGCTGCGCTATGTGAGGCCATCACTGCGGGTACTTGCCTCCCTCTCGCCCGCCTTGCCTCCTCCGTGTCCGCTTCGGTCACGGAGGCCCTTCGGGGCCAGCTTTTGGGACTATGGGCCCTGATGGACGGCCTTCAGGGGTCTCGGGCCGCCAGGGGGCGTCTAGGGCCCAGGAGCCATCTTGGACCGATCTTGGTGCGGCGTGAAATCGCCCAGTGCGGGGAAGACTTGTGTCCATGTCCACTGAAGCTGCGAGTTTCGGGCACCCTTCCCCAGAAGCCCGAGTCGCCCCCCTCTAAGAATGTCCAAGGCACGCTGGGCGTGGACAAACAAATATTGAGCAGGGACAAAGGAGGGAGAGGGGAAGGGACGAGGGGCAGCAGGAAAGGCAGCATTGAGGAGGAGCAAGTCAAAGAGAGACCGAACACCAACGAGAGAATGCGCGAGGCCAGCCACCCCTTAGAACTGGCACAAACACAAACACACACACACACACACTTGTTGTAAGTCGGAGGGGCAGAGGGTCCTCAAGCGCGGGCAACAGATGGAAGTGCTAATTGCGAGCGAGCACTGTCGAAAGCAAAGTGTACGAGACGTCGCACACTGCAAAATGCAAACGGTCGGTGGTGTACCAAAGGGAACAGGCATACACAAGAACAACTGACAGCAAGGCTGGACAATAACCGATTGATCTACCGATGCTGGTAAGCAGGCTGGCGCGGGAAGTGCAGTCGAATAAGAGGATCCCGACGACGACTACGACGACGACGTCGACGAAGAGCCGCGCCGTCCGGAGGTGGGCGAAGTCGAGCTGGTCGGAACATTCCCAAGCTTGCACGGTGCGCCCGAGCACCTTGGGCTCCGTCACCCTCCTCTTTTTCCTCCTCCTCCTCCTTCTCCTCTCCTTCTCCCTCTTCCTCTCTCTACAGCAGGTTGGCGTAGTGACGACCCCGGCGTTGGCTTCTGACACCACGATGATCGCCAAACCTTGAGAACCATCAGCGGTTGTTCGATCTCCAGATCGTTCCATATTTGCCGATTCTGGAGAACTGGCGGCGTTCAACCTTAAACGCCTGCGGCGGGGCCGCTGCCGCGGCAACAAAGCACGAACCTACCTACCGTACAACTCCCCATCTTATCCCCCTTTGGGAACAAGGGTGAACACCTCCCCCTGCCCTGTTCCGTGGGTGTTGATGCAGACTCCCGCAAGGTATCAGATGATCATGTTTGGCCCTCGATGATTCCAGATAGCTTAAGATCGCCACGACAATAGCATAATGTCCTCCAAGAGAACACTTCCAACACGCCTCCAAAATGCTCAAACACTGTCCCAAATGGCCACGGAACCTCTCAGTAAGACCATCAGGAGGACTAACTCTCTCAGCCACCTTTTGCATTTCGATGTATTTTGCCATGTCGCTTTTCACCATCAAGCACTGGGGGCTCACAACGGTTCAAACGACGCATCAGAAGGCCTCAAGGGGGGCTCAGAACGGCTCAACGACGGCCCCTCCCCCATTGGACCTCCATGAGCGCCCCGAACATGCTCGAACAATCGACTCGTCGTGCTGTCTACGGGCGACGCTCACCCGCGCCGCCCCCTCTTTGACAAGCATAATCATTGCAGCACAGTCGGTGTTGTAAATGGCATCTCGGGGATACCCTTGATGGCCTCCAATATGGCACAATATTGCCCAAACTAACACCTTGCATGCCTCTCTAAAGGACACCAACACAGACGCAAGGCGGCGCAGAGGGGCCTCGGAGCCTCCTTGGGAGACCCCTGAGAAGGCAAAATCTTCTAACACTGAAGATGTACAAATGAGTTTGGCCTTCTCGCCTTTGCGCTTCCGATGGGCTTGCTGAGCCCCAGCATCACGCCACTCTCGCCAGAGAGAACACCAAGAGGGACCCAAAAGAATTACACGAGGGCCCCTAGTGCCCCCAAGAATGATCTGAGAAGCATCCGTTCGGACCCCGATTTATGATCTGATTTAGAACGTCCCCTCATCTAATCAATGTCGTCGACGATTGCGCCAGGAGGGCCCGAACGGCCCCTAAGAGGCCTCCATGAGGGCTCTATGCCAAGACGACGCCCACGACTCCCCAAATGCCCATACGGGCCCCAAAGGCTCCCAAGAGGGCCCCAGCCGCCTCCCGAATTCAAAGATCAACTCCCAAAAGACTCTCATCTCGAAAAGTCCGCGACGACATTGATGGATGACCTCTGAGTCTGGTCCGGCTGATCCCGATCTTCGGTTTGACGACTGCCCCCCTACTTGTTCCACTGCTGGCCCCTGCACTTACCTGGCCAAGGCAACCCGCCCAGACATTCGTTGTTGGATGGACTGGTGGCGGTATACAAAGCGTCACCGATTGTATGTTGTCTGCTCAGCTGCAGCATTGCACTCATCGGCTCAGTCAAACTGTCTTACTCCTCCTCCTCCTCCTCCTCCTTCTTCGTCTTCCTCCTCGTCCTCGTCCTCCTCCAGCCCCGAGCTTCTCCCCCGCCTTCCCCACCCTCCCCCCGAGTTCCTCCTCTACCTCTTCTTTATCCCCCTTTTCTCCCTCCTCCTGCTCCTCCTCCTCCTGCTCCTCCTCCTCCTGCTCCTCCTCCTCCTCCTCCCTCCAATCTCCTCCTACCCCGAATGCATCCCCTCCCCCGAGTCCTACCAGACCTTTAGGGCGTGAGTGGTTCAAAGGACGCTGCCTTCTCTCTAATCTTTCAAATCCTCCCTTCCCCTGCTCGGAAGAGGTGCTCCTGATGAAACTGCACCCCCCTCCCCCACCCGACTGAGGGCCAACCTGAGACATGCCCCCCTGTCACCCCTGTCAAACAACGATACAACATGCATTCTGCGTCCAAATCTGGAACATGCGCGGGCGGCCCGCGACCACTGGGCGTTGATTGTTGGCAAGGACGGCGGGGGTGCCGTCATATTGCTCGCTGCGCGCAGGCCAGCCGTCCCTGTCAGAAAACAATACGGGGATGCACTTTGCCTCTACATCTGGAGCATGCGCAGGCGCCCCGCGACCACCTTGCATCGTTTTTGTTGTTGACAGGGACGGCAGGGGTGCCGTTAAATTGGTCGCTGCGCAAGCCAACCATCTCTGTCAACCGAAACAGTACAAGATACGCTTCGCCTCCACATTTGGAGCATGCGCGTGAGCCCCGCGACCACCTTGCTTTGGTTTTTGACACGGACGGCGGGGGTGCCGTCAGTTTGCTCGCTCCGTGTAGGCCGGCCATCCTACACAAAAACATACATAATACAATTTGCCTCTACATCTGAAATGTGTGCGGGCGCCTCGCTACCACTCTGCGTTGGTTTTTGGCAAGAACGGCGGGGGTGCCGGCATGTTGCTTCAACATGGACCACGTGCCGCACATGGCGCGCCTGGCTCGCTTGGGCCTCCAGGGTGCCTGGCGGGCGACGCGCGCGCGGTGACCTGGGGGCGGTGGCGGGCGGCACGGCGCTACCGAAGTCGTTCCCTCCCCCGTCGGGCGGAGGAGCACCTGGCATCGCAGAGCCAGGAGGTCGCCCGCGCCCGCGCCGCCTGAGGCCTCCTTCTCCGAGGCAACCACGCACCACCTGTACCCGGCGCTCTTTCCCTCTTCGTGCTCCCTTCTCGCGCTCTTTTCCTTATTCTTAGTATTCTTATTATTTGTCCTGTTCCTCCTCCTCCTCTTCCTCCTCCTCCTCCTTGCAGCAGGAGCAGTGAACCGAAGAAGCGGTACAACGCGACGAACTTGCAAGGAGCTGGCGGGCGGTAGCCCGGTACAGTGGTAGGCTGAACGCCCGTCCCCAGCGGCCCGCTCGGGCGCTCGCCGCCTCTGCCGCGGCCTCGTCGCCCAAGAGAGCCGCTGGTTTCAAGTGCCAGCGGCACCGTGCTCCGAGGGGCGCGATCGGCCAGGTACTGCTGGCATTTGTCTCCTCCTCTTCCAGTTCCTCTTCCTCCTCCTCTTCCAACTCCTCCTCCTCTTCCTCCTTCTCCTCCTCCTCCTCCTGATCCCTCCTCCCTCCTATGGATTCATGTTGTTTTGTCCCTCGGCACACTCCTCTTCCAACGCCCCCCCTCCCCGTCCCCTCTTGTTCATTACTTTGTTGTTGGTACTGCTGCTGCTAGTGCTGCTGCTGCTGCTCCTCCCCTCCTCCTCCTCCTCCTCCTCCTCCTCCTCCTCCTCCTCCTCTTCCTCCTCCTCCTCCTCCACCTCCTCCTCCTCCTCATCACCCTTTCCTCCTCCTCGCCCGGAGGCCCGAGGAGATGCAAAAGGCGCCGGACGGCTTGAAATGAATACCTCGATTCCGCTCGTATCGTTTCTCCATTTCCTCCTCCTCTTCCTCGTCTTCCTCCTCCTCGTCCTCTTCGCACGGAGGCCGAAGAGATGGCAAACAACGCAAGATGGGTTGACGCAAACCCCTCGATGTTGGTAGTTTCCTTCCTCCTTTTTCTCCTGCTGCTCCTCCTGCCCCTTTTGCTGCGCAAGATACCCGGCGCAACCGAATCCACCACGCTGGACACATGTAACATTCAAACGAACTCTGTATGCGGGCGACGCACCGTCTTCCGCACATGCAACAACTCACGCCTGCCCAAATGCTTATATACACCAGTGTGGAACCTGGTCCAGATTCCCCCCCCCTCCACCAGAGCCTATGACTGCGACCAAAAAGAAGCGATCCGCCTCAAGCTGGAAAACGCGGAGTCGGAACTGCTGAACAAAACTCTAAGCGTAGTCGTCGCAAAGGAGCTGGTTGCCATCATGAGCGAGGCTTCACAGCAGAAGAGCATCCCTCCTCCACGACATCATGGCCATCAAACCCGAAATGGTCAGCACGATGTCGCTGGCGGACTTCGGCGCGGTTCCAAGTGAGCACTGACGAAGTGGACCAGGAGGCGATCGAGCAGGCGGAACGCTCCAAGAAACAAATGGTGCACGTGCTCCACCAACACACGGGTTGAATGGTAGCTCAAGACTAGCAGCCGGCCGACAAGAGCGCAAGCTGAAGCCACGGGACTTGAAGACAGCGTTTCTGGCGGCCGGCAAGAGCGAGTGATCAAAGCAGGGCCCGCGCCGAGACACAAATCAACGTGCCTCGGCAGACTGCGTCAAGAGCCCCGGCCGCCTGTCAGCGTCTCTTTAGATATGGGCGCCCGTAACTTGGCGCATGAGAAGGGTCAGGGTCACACTTGCAAGTTTGCAGCTGGAAGGGTCACTGCGCGTTTCTCAAGACACTGCAAAACCCTGGGGTTGCTTTGGAAGGCTTTGACGTGTCTCCCGAGGCCTTCGGGGGGCCTGGTCGGCCCGGGAAGCTCAGGGGCAGTGGCCGCAGTCGAGAGGCCCGCCTCATGCAATGAAATAAGCAGCCTATCTGTCATACATTTCACGCTGCTCAACCCTCCAAGGGCCGCGAGACGGCCCCTGCCCCGCGGCAACCTCGCCCGCGCCCTATGCAGACGCGGCGCCAGCGATAACCGGGGCATTGCGCCAGGCCGGCAAACTCGCGCGCCCCAGGCGGGCCAAACAGGAGCCGAACCCAGCTAGTCGCCGACAGCAGAGAAAATAACACCGCGACCTCTTCATCTGCTGCCGCCCCCGCTGCCCCCCCCCTCCTTCGGCGGCCCGCGAGACCAGCGATTTCGAACGGAGCGGGCCATGTGAAACCGGCGTTGCAAGGCCCTGGGGCCCACGAGATGGACAAGCCCCCCCTCGGGAATGAGTGGCCCTGAGGCGGGACCTTCGGCGGCGCCAACCCTGCATGAAGTATTTTGGGCGATGCCGCGCGGCAGCAGCCTCTAGCGGCGCCCGCGGGCGCGCCTAAGTCTGAACTCGCGGCGCCGCCCGCAGAGATGCTGGGCGACCTCTGGCAGGGGGTCAGGGGCGCCCCGCCGCGCCAGCAGGCGACGCCCCGCCGCGCGCCCAGGCTTCCCCAGCGCGCCAAGCGGCCCCTGAGGGGGCCGCTGAGCTCGGGGAGAACGACGGTCAACTCATCCAGCAGGTGGAACAGCCCCCGTTGCTCAGCATCTACCGTAAGTTAGGAAACCAGGAGGCCGCGCGCTCCTCTGATCGGGCGTTTCCCCAGTTTGATCGCAGTGCGTCGAGGTTGGAAGGGAATGGTCTTCGCGCGCCCAGATGCACCAGCGACGAACTGTCTTGTGGAGTCGGGTGGCCACCCGCGGGTGAACGCGCGTCTGGGCGAGCATTGAACGTCACGAATTGTGGAGGCCCTGTCTCTCTGCGCCCAGGAGGGCCCCGCGCCCCGCGATTGACTGTGCAGCCCTAGAAGCGGCCGAAGAGGTTCGCGCGGCCCACCGCCATGACACGCGCAATGGGCAGCCAGAGCAGCAGACTGGCCAGCGGACCCGTGTAAAGCCGCGCTTGGGAAGCTCCGCTAGATGACGAACCCCCTCCCCAGGATTGCAGATGGGGCGGTTCTTGATAGGCGCGCGGCGACTTCGGGGATCTGCTGGCCCGGGCCGATCCTAACCCGAGTCAGTCAGGCCCTGCAGGATCCCGCGGGGCCCTGCGCCCAAGCCTGGGCCAATGCGACCCTGGCCCTGCAACAGCCTGCAAAATCCTGGGCCCAAGCCCGCGTCAATGTGACCCTGGCCAATGCAGGGTCCTGCAAGATCTGACGCCCTTGCTAACCCCCGCTTGCATTGGCCCCCGCCTCGAGGCCCCCGACGCATTTCCCCGCTGATCTTACCGGCCACAACGCGGAAGCATGCAGACGAGTATGGGCCGCGAGCGAGGTGCCCCAGCGGGACTCAGTAGCCGTTTCGGCTCGAGCGAAAAGGCGGGCGCACGCGGCGATCGCCCCCCCGATTTTGCGTTCGACACTTTAGACCGGGCCCTCCGCCCGCAGCCCGACAAGAGGCAAGGGCGTATATATATGTATATATATATAAATACATACATACATATATATATATATACCACTTGTTCAATCAACCTGAAAGGAAGGTCGCGCGGCCTCAACGATCGCTGCAGTCGGCGGCGATGATGGCGCCGAAGCCGGCAAAAGGATACCGAACGATAGCCCCACTGTCATGGATCGCAACAGGTCGAGGAGTGGGTCTCCGGGGTGACGAGGCACTCGGGCGCCGCTCTCAAGGGCTCGCCCTGCGCCGGGGAGGCGCTCGCGAGGTCGCGTCAGGGCGGGGCCGCCTGGGCGCTGGGCATGGCCTCAACGGTGAGGCGAATCTCCGTCGGAAAGGTGCTGCGACTCGCTGGGCTCGCCGACCGTCGCCTCGGCCTGCGAGGGGGCGGGCGCCCCGACCAACGCAGCGGCCCCAAGGCTCCAGCTGCGGCCCGCGGGCCGCGCGCCGAGGCTGGAGGGCGCGCGCGCCCCGCCCGCGGGCGAGGAGAATCTGGCGACGTTGACCTTCGGCTGCGGCGCGAGCACCTCCTCGCTACGCTACCTGCGCTGCTCGCGCCACCCGCGCCCGCGGCGCCTCGAACTCGGCCGCGCGCGAGAGGCAGAAGAGCGGGGGCGTCGCGCTGGAAGGGGGGTCGCGCTGGAGCGGTCGAGCTCCAGGAACGTCTCGCCGTCCTCTGTCGCCCGCGTGAGCGGAGGCGCGTGGCGCGCATCCGGCCTCAGAACTGCCCGCGCAATACTGCGACGCGTGATGTGGCGGTCACCTCTTCGCCCTCTTGTCATTGGAGCGACGCGGCAGCTGTTGAGGATGGCCCTGACGTGCCGCCTCGAGCATGGTTGCCTTCGTGTCTTCCGATCCCTTGACTAGTGCGAACCTGTCAGGATGCCCGGCCGATGCGAGCCCGTCTGGCATGGTTTTGCACCTCTCGCCTGCGAGGGCAACCTCTGCGACGCGCCGCGATTCCTCCGCGGCGTCGACCTTTGAACGGAACGAAACTCCACAATGGGGCGGCCGCTCAACCGAGACAGAGACATCCCCATTGGATCGGCTGCCTGCCACAGGAGCCATGCGCGTCGGTGGCGATGAAACAACGCCCGGGCGCGCAGGGGGGCATCCGATCTGGGGCCGACGCCGCGCATCGCGACCTGCTGAAGCGCGCGGGAAGAACAATGCTCACCAGACCATATCGCAAAACAGCTGCCAGCAAACCCTGGCAGCTGGCACGCGCGCCGCGCATGAAGAAGCACATGCTCGGGGAGGAGCTGATCGCATGATGGCGGGGCATCGCCACGAATATTGAAGCCACCCATCGCAATGGAGATTATGTCCGAAGGGCTGCGGCTTCTCCATGATACCCAGCACCGCCCTTCGGTGCAGATGATCCACTTGCCGCTGTTCGTGATAGTGTAGTTGTGGGCGTGTATGAAGACTGCGCTGCGCATCGTAGATGAGTGCGCGACTTGGACGGTGGCCACCCCCCCCACGTTCACACTGCTCAGTCGTGATCAGCGGGGGCTGATCTTGTGTAATATGTGGGCCAGGGTTCTAGACACGAGATTCCACCTTCTCGCGCTTCGTCTGCATGTAAGCGGTAGACCTTTTAGTGGTACGAGGTGAACACATCGAGATGTAGGCGAACGACATGAGTCTCTGGAAATAGAACAATGGCTGCGGCCCTTACGAATCGCACCCATCTGCGCGCGTTGCCGCGCCGCTTCCGGACCCGGCAGCAGCAGAAGCCTCTGGCAACCCAGGGGGCCGCGCATCCACCGCGAGGGGAAAGCGAATGGAGCACTTGCATCCATCGGATGTAAAATAGACAACCAACCGACATGCGTCCGCGGCGAGAGAGCGCCGCTGAACCCCCCCATTGGCGACAGCTTTGTCGACGCCACTTTGCCGTGCAACTCTGCGGCCCCAGCGCAGGGCCGCCCGCGCGCGCCCGACGTCTGCGCTCATCTGCTGCTACTCCTGCCGAAGACGTAGGCGCGCCCCAAAAAAACGCGACCGCCGGCGTCAACGCCGTCGACGCGTTGCTCTCGCTGTCCGACCTCGCCCAATGCAAGCTGGAGTTCGCCGCGCATCGCTGATTGAGCCCCTTGCATGGTGGCCGCTCATTCTGCTCGAAGACGCGCGGGTGCCACGTCCATCCATGCTGCGAGGAGAAATGAGAGGCGCCCCTCGAGGGTGCGCTGGCCAAAAAGCGTGGCATTGCATTCGCAACTTGGCCCAACTGCTGCCGCTAGCGCCAGCTGGTGTCACGCCTGCACCTGCCGCCGCAACGCCTCGGGGGAAAAGCCGCTCCAGCTTCCGCGCGCCGAACGCGCGCCAGATCTGCCTCTGCGCGCGGCAATTGTTACCCGCGCGCGGGCCGGCCCAGGGATCGGGCGGCGGTGGCGGGCCCTCCACTTGGACCTGCAGCAGAGCGAGACAAAGACAGAACGCGACGCGGCCCCCGCTCTAACGCGCAACGCTCCACAGGCCGGCGCAGGCTCAAAAGCGCGGGACTGCGGGACAGCGCAATCACGGGCGCCTTGCGCGGAATCGCACTTGGGCCACTTCACCGGGGCCGAAGACGCCGCTGCCAAAGGGCGAGATGCCCGAGACGCCCCGGCCGACCACGAAGACGAGCCGCGGCGCAAAGTGACAGGGCACCAGCGCGCGGCAATAATTGCGCGAGGATGAGGGCCGCCGTCTGCCAGGGCGCCGAGCGCACCGGGACCGACCACGTCTTGCCCAGAGGCCGGCTTTCTCAAGAATTTCGAGAAGCAATCTGCTCATTATCTAACACTCTCGATTTCGTCCGCTAGATAATACACGCATGCAAGCTAATATGCGCAAGCAAGCTACCGATGTCCGAGCAATATATATGACAAGAAAAAGCTGACATATATATAGACAATATAAAAGCCCGGGTGAAAAGTATGGAAACGCATGTACACGATTAAGAAAGCTGAGGAGGATGAGTGGGAAGAGGGGGAGAAGGAGAAGGAGGGGGAGGAGGAGTAGGAGAAGAAGGAGGAGCAGGAGGAGCAGGAGGAGGAGGGGATGATGCAGAGGAGGTGGAGGAGGAGGCGGAGGAAAGGAAGAGATGAGGGGAGGAGGAGGAGGATATATACGGAGGAGGAGGAGGAGGACGACGACGAGAGGGGGGATGAGAGGGTGGGAGGGGGATAAAGAGGAGGAGGAGGAAAGAGAGATGACGAGGAGGAGGAGGAGGAAAGGAGGAGGAGAGAAGGAGGAGAGGAGGAGAAGGAGGAGGAGGAGGAGGAGGAGGAAGAGGACGCGCAGGAGGGAGATCATGAAGATGGGGAGCAGCGAGAGAGAAGGAGAACGATAAGGAAAAGGACACGGAGACAGAGAAGGGGACTGATCATGCGAAGCAGGATGAGAAGGATACGAAGGCAGAAAAGGATAATGATACCGATACGGGCAATGGTAAAGATGAGGAGGGCGAGGATGACGACGACGCGGACGAGGAGGACAATGAGGACGAGAACTGACGAGAGGGACGAGTGCGAGTAGAGGAGGATGAACAAGGAGGATGAGAATGAGAAGGGGTATGAGGAGGATGAGGAGGAGGAAGAGAAGGGCGGGATGAGGAGGAGGAGGAGGAAAAGGAGGAGGATGAAGGGGATGGGGATGAATGGGATGAGGACAGCAATAAGGACGTGCTCGCATTGGCGGCTGCCTGGTCGTCGCATGCGACGCGGTGCGAATGCGACACCATGCTTCGAAAACAATGTTGCGATGGGGGCGTCGCGCGAGGCGCAACGTGCTATGCGTCGTTATGCCGAGACTGAAGGTCTCGGAATCGCATGCAATGCAATGCTACGCAAGACTGCGTCGGCAGTGTGTCGAGCGCGAAACGCGCGGGCATGAGACCGCGCGTGCCATAAGACATGAAATTACCAACCGCACGTGTTTATATATATATACATATATATATATAAAAGAAAAGAAAAGAAAGAAAGGGCGAGGTGGGGGGCGGATAGATGAATGGCTGAAGGGGGGGGGGGGGGGGTCGAGACGACGGGGGGGGGGGGGGGGGGTCGAGGAGGAAGGGGGGGAGGAGTATGAAGAGGAGGAAAAGGATGATGATGGCGACGACGAAGATGATGATAATGCTGGCGGTGATGATGATAATAATGATGATGATGTGAATGAGGATGATGAGGCGATGATGACGACGATGATGAGGAGGAGGAAGATTAGGCGGAGGAGGAGGAGGAGGAGAAGGAGGAGAAGGAGGAGGGGGAGGGGATGGGGGGGGGGCCGCCCCCCCCTCCCCCCTCTCGCACACCCCCTCACCTCATCCCATCCCCTCCTCTCCCCTTCTCACCCATGCCCTCCCCTCCCCTCCCATCGCATCCCCCCAATCCCATCCCACCCCCTCCCTTCCGCATGCCTGCCCCCCTCGCCCCCGCCTCTTTTTCCGATCGTCGATCCATCCCATCGCCGCTGCACGTCGGCTCCGTGACTGCGCACCCCCCCGCGAACTGGATCGAGTACATCATCCAAGCGCACGGGGCATGGGGCGGGACGCGACGCCCGACATCGAGACGCCGGATCGACGCACGGCGGAGTCGACGACGACGGCGACGGAGTCGTAACACATCGGACGTCTACATTTGGAAACGCACGTTACGAATTCGATTGTTGTTATGGATTTGCGTTACAGACACGGGTCATAGATGTTGGGTTGGGGTGTTGCGCGTGTTCATCGTCGCAGTCGCCGTTGTAATTTACATGTTGTCGGGCATCGCCGTAACTGTCTGCACTGTTAAACGGGCGCCACGGTTTTCACACGCGAGTTCACACGCGTGTGAAATCGCGTGTGAAATCCAGAAACTGGTCCCACGCCTGCTATTTTCACAGAGTTTCCGCGTCAACTGTCCCACCGTCATCTCGCAATCGCCATCCGCATCCTCATCCTCCGCATCATCATCGGCGTCATCACCCGCATCGCCCCGCCATGTGCATCATCACCATCGTCATGCCCCCCGTCTCTCCATGAATTCCTCCGCGCATGTATCATCATCATTATCTTCATCCGCCGCCTCCGCTTCCGCATCCTACGCCGCATCATCATCATCATCCCCTCCCCATCCTTAGTATCAGCCATCCCGTATCCTCATCACCATCCTCCTCCACTGCATCATCCTGCAACATGCCACCCCCATCATGCCCATGGAGTTTCTCATACCCAGCGCATCATCGCCCCTCCATAGCGCCCGCCACATCATCATCATCATCATCTTCCCCGTCCTCATGTTCATCTCCCTCACACACCGCATCATCGCCATCACCAGTAACATCGGCATCAGCAACATCATCAGCATCATCAGCATCACCAGCATCACCATCGTCAGCATCAGCATCAGCATCACCATCACCACCAATATCACCATCAGAATCAACATCATCATCGCGACTCCCCATCCTCGAGAGCACGGTTTACCTATTTCGCCCCATCATTCCCCTCCCGTATCTTCCTTCTCCGCCTAGCGGTGTCGATGCACCTGGATTCCACTGGTTAACGGTGCCATCGGGGCCCCGTCAGGATCTTCTGATTCGGGCAGCGCCCGACCTGACAACATCTTGCGGCGAGCAGACCAGACGGTGGCACCAGCACAGACTCGCATGCAGTGCCAGCAGATTAATCGATTAATCACAACAGGATGGGAGTGGTGTGGTAGCGTGGAGCATGAGGCTTCAAATGGAGGATGAGACTGGGGCTGGGAAGAGGGCCGAGGCGCGGTGGGCCACCGCCATTAAACATTAAACACCGCATGTAAGCGGAGCAGGGCGCGGTGGGCGCACCATACAATCACACATAGAATCCATCCTCATGGCGCACACCGCTGCCTTGGATGATCCTGAACCTCACTCGGAATTCATTGAGCAGGTCCGCGCCTAGATTCAGCGTATTGTTCAGACGGGACAGGCCTGACACGGCATCGCCCACAAGAGCTTTGAAGTGGAGGAGCTGGTCGTACAACGGCTTGCTCTCGTGGGCTGGGTCATGACAGCCCTCCGCCCGCATGAACATCTCTGCGCGCATGAGGCCCATCTGGAGCGAGCCCATGACGTCCAACATGTCCAGGAACGACGTGTCGCCTGCGATGGTGCGCGTTTCCTGGCCGTTTCTGCGGCACCGCGTCGGCGCGCCACCCGCCATCGCCATCGATCGGATCCTCGAGCGCGATCGCCGAGGCGACGTCACACTGCCGCCCTCGCGGCGCTCGCGGCGCGGATGTAGCGCTATCCGAATGCCACCCTCGCTCTCGCGCGACTGCAGCGCGGGGCTGTCACCATCGATCTCGCGCGGCTGCAACGCGGGGTTGTCGCCATCGTTCGCCTGCGTGTCGCTGCCAACTCCGTGCTCGATGCCCTGCTGCCCGATGCCTGCATCATCCGCCACCGCCGACCCACGCGGCATCGGCACCATGGAGTGCAGATCTTGCAAGATGTGGAGAGCACGGCGCTGTGCCAGTGCTGGAGCCAAAACGGCTTGCATGCTGGGGATGGGGCGGTACATATTGGTATGTATTCGATATTGAACCTTGCACCGCGAGGCGTTATGGCAAAACCAATCGGGTTGCGACGCACGCGGTGGCCTCGCAAGCCCCACCCGAGACGTCGGCATTTGCTCAGCGCGCGCTGCCCGAGGCCACTTTGCAAGAGAAGCCACGCGCATCTGATCGCGCAGTGCGAAACGATGCCCCTGCAGAACTGCCACCAGAAGCACCCGTGCACTTACTTTCGCCTGAGACATCCTCGCACGCGCGCGCGTGCACGCATGGTGGCGGGGACGCGGAGGAGGAGGGGGGATGCTTGCACCGTCAGGTGTGGCTGTGCATTATGCGCGGTGTTATCTTACACGTCGGCGTCTGAACCCACCCCCTCCAACGCCTCTCGTCTCATCCTCAGTCGCCCACTCATCATCCTCATATCGTATCGTCGGATACTATGCAGCATGTTATACTTCGTGTGTGTGTGTGAGCACCTCCTCATATGCATGTTCGCGCGCTGCCTCGCGTGATCCATCGCCCCCCCTCCCTGATTTTTCGGGCGGTAGAGTGGCGCGGTGTTTTCGCCGAAGTGAGGCGGCACAGTGCTCGAACCTATCACACGAGTCAACCGCGCACCCTGCCAGCAACGAGGGGGAGCCACGACCCTGCCGACGTCAGGGCTGGATTACCAAACCTACCCTGGAGGTCGATCAAGCTGAATACTCGCCGAGCGAACGTCATGCGATGACAGAATTGCGCCACGTCCCGCAGCGACGAATTCAGCGACTCGTCCGCAAAGTTGTGATATAATTTCGCCGCCCCCTGGTATCTCATCCTCGGCAGGTGCGTATCACATGTGTTCTCTTCCCCCCCCTCCCTGTGGATTAAACAGCGGGGGGGGGGGGGCAGGGGTGCCCGAGCACGACCGACGCGCGATCGACGACGAACGAACGTCATGCGACAACCGACAGTGGCAGGCCGTTAGACACACGCAGACACATCACATCGCATCTTGATAGCGTGGGTCGTCGTCACAGTCGTCGTGCACATGTCGTCAATGCTGCATGGGGCGTTTGCAGGGGAGGCTCCCATGGCTTCGTCTACGTGTATGTGTAACGGCTGATGCCTTTACCGAACCCCCCGTCCTGTCTACGAAATGCCCCAATACATGGTTCTTAGGAGTCGGCGTGATGCCCGCGGCCTTGCAACACCTGTTATAGTTTGCCAACGGTCTCACCATCCGCCGATAACCATCTGCGCTCACTGTGGCCGAGTGCGACCTCATCTCTTGGACGAAGTGATGCAATGCGACGCCAGCGCCAAGAATGGGGCCACCGAACGTATCCGCTCCGCCGTAGAGCACCAATAAATCTCTCGGGAACCCCAACAAGATTGCACATTCTCCTGCTTTGAGGCTGATGTTGCATCCAGGGTGCCGCGTGTTCTGATTGCCGAATTCATTTGAAAGAGCTCGCGCGCGCTGGGAGATGGAGACGGGAACGGGGGGGGGGGAGAGACGGAATGAAGAGCGGAGGGAGGGAGGGCGAGACCGAACGAAGAGCAATGGCGAGACGAGATGGATCTCGAGGACGGGGCTGGAGGATGGCAGCGGAACGCGGAAGGACGATCGACGCGAGATGGCGACGGAGACAACGCCTTGAGGAGGAGGCCGCGGAAAATCAGAAGCCCCGATGAGGATGCGCCGGAACGCCTTGAGCGACATACGCACGAGAAGGGGTACGCACCCTCTCCCACCGAGAGGTCGACGGTCAATTGAGGACTCCAGAACTCGACAGCTAGGTACCCCCATGGAAAGGGGTAGGGGTCTGAGATGCACTGGCCCTCGTATCGGGGGGGGCGGAGCACAGCCTACGGTGCTGAGCCCGACTCGTCTCAGTTCACCCCGTCGTGAATGCGCATCCTATACCGCTGCCTTCGCAGCCGTCGTTTCGGTCACTTGGCTTTTAAACCCCATCCGATGCCATGTTTCCGATGTGCGTCCAGTCGCTGCGACGAGCGGTGACACGTCCAGATGCGCATCGATGCCCCCCCCCCCCCCCCGCGAGGTCGACGACTTCGGGTCTTGGCGGCGAAGACCGTTGGCGCGCGATCCTGGAGCTGCCCTCCGCTGGTGGCCCCGCGCTCCACCGTTTCTCTCTGCGGATGCTCGGCCACGCGCTCAGGGTGTGTCTCATATCCTCTCCACATTCCCTACGTCATCTTCCCATCCCCATGGTCATCCGTCCTCCTCGCAGCTCATCGCCCGAGTGCTGCATTCCATGCGCTTCTCGTATTTAACTTGCCCCTTCTCGCATTTCCCCTGGTGATCCATCGTCTCATGCCCCAGACATTCGCCCTGCCCAGTCTCAGTTTCACTGCTGTGAACTGACACCATCCTCCCGCATCAGCATCCCCCTCATGTGTGTCCCCCAGGCTGCTCACTTGCTGCAGCCCGCATCCTCCACCATAATCGTTCTCATTGTCTGATTCGCAAGCTTAGCGCGAGCCTCCCCATGCTCATCCTCCCCATCCTCATCACTCCGCGTCCGTTCGCGTCTCCTCATTCTCCTCCTCCGCCACCCTCCGCTCGACCGTTCACGCGCGTGCAAACAAAAACGCGTTCCTGCAACGTGAAGCCCAACCGATTGCCCAACATACCAGCAGTGAAACTCCCTTGGTACCGATCTTTCAGAGGTGCATTGTTATCCGATTGCCACTTTCCCAACACTGCAGACAGGAATGGCATGCTAGCGTTGACGACAACATCTACATCACCACATATACTCCAAGGGTTGGATAAGACAACCCTCCACAATACAGCGGCGATGTACCGCATCACTGGGCCGAAGTACACGGCGTGAAGCGCATCGATCGCCATCGTTCTGGCGGGGCTCGAATGGAGTTGCTCGTCAAAAAGCGGGCAGCGGTGATTCACGGCATCTAAACATTTTGACCCAGTGTACCTGGGACGCCACAAGCACACGACCGTTGGAAGAGAAATTGCATTGAGCGCCCCGATGCCCCATAAATCATCAGACGGTTCGAGGCGATCGCCTCGGAGGATGTCTATGCCATTAACCCGCCCATCCCGCCACGCAACGCGACCGCCGATTTTTTTCTTGTCCCTGGTCCACCACAACAACCTGCACAACGCATGCCTATCCGCGACCGTCCGCAATGGCACGGTCACTTCGCATCTGGTACAGTCACGATTGTAATCACTATGGGTCCTTAGCGGGTATGGCAAGTCGTCGACGTCGGCATCCAGGTCACAGCAATGGTTGTAGAGCTCTGCCTTGCCAAGGACACAGAACGGACACGGCGAATGCAGTTTCGCCCAGTTCCCGATTCCGAGCGAGTGGTTCTGTTCGGCCCAGTCCACCTTGATATACACTACACCATCACCGCGCTGAAGCCCAGTGGAGCAGCATTTTTCAAGGGGCTGGTTGCTGGCCACTCCGCTCCAGCATGGGTTCTACTCGGTGGCACGCCACGCACCCACGATCGCAGCTGCCACTGCAAGGCTTTGAGCATCGGCCACACGCTGCACCAGCCTTTACATCCGCATTTACACGCGTCTGCGCTCCTGAGCGCTGAAAAAAATGACGGCGCTGCGTAAGCATGTTCACAACCCAGACGCCCAGCGCACTTTCTGAGCGTCCTGCCGCCTGCGAAATAAACCGGACGCCGTCCATATATACGGACAGCGGGATCGGCAACCCATTCCCTGATTGCAGCGAATCAATTACATGTGGGTGACCCGCGTAGGCGGGCACGTCAAGTACAGATGCAGGTCGGTCCTCTGTCGGCGCAGTCAAGCTGCGCATGATGTTATTATCACTGGCTACTTCCTTTGCGAGCGAATCCCACAGGGCTCGGACAGGGGTTGCGTTGACTGAACGATGTGCCTGCATTTTCTTGCTCATCGGTATATCTATGAAACGCATGTCTCCTGGGTCGGGGAGGACTCTGTCCAGGTGCTCCTGAAATTTTCCCGATCTCGGTGCGTCTGGGTTACATGCGTAAGTCGAAAAGGAAGCGCCCTCCACCCCAGCTTGTCAGCATGCCAACAACACGTACACAGGTCCGTGGCCGTAATCCGACACCTCGCATACAGTTCCAATAAATGCTTCAACAATGCAGCGCCATGTTGCCTCTGTTCTGACGGTCGCTGGTTCCACTGTCGCGGCGGCGAATCCGCCGCGAGGTCAACAGACGAGCCAGGCACGCTAATTTCTTTGGGCCTGTAAATACGGATATAGCGACGGACCTGGCAAAGCATGGGTCATATGTGATCAGCGTAGCATTCACGCATAGCACGTTCACATAGCATGGGCGCATTGCGCCGGCGCATAGCATGGAAGCGCCGCTGGCATTTGACCATAACATGTGCACAGCTCACGCGTATCAGCGCGCATATCTAGCGCATGTCATTCCGCTATCATGAGTGATTCGAGCGACGGATGAGAAGATTGTGGGCGGAGCCAGACCGTGATCGTGACGCAGGTGACTGAGTAAAACACGCAGGGTCGTCACATGCGCTATGGTGCTAGGCTGCGCCGTGCTATGCCAGGCGCGATGCCATGGTATACAACGCTATACCGATGCTATACCATGCTAGACCGAGCAACGCTTCGACGTTGGCGACTGCGGCGGCGACGACGTTGACAACGCGTAAGCAATTTCGGTTCGAGCTGACACGCCCCACACGGCGAGCGCCGATGATGATCATTCGAGCGAAACGCTGAGACATCAACATATACGCCGACAGCTTGTAGCATCGTCAGCTTGGCGACTTCGACAGATTGGAACATCGGGCGCAGCAGCAGCGCTACCGCCGAGCAGCCAAGCATCGATCGGCAGGGACGTAGACACGTATATGCGCACCGTCGAACAACGCGGATTTGCCCGATGCGATGGCGACCGACAACTCTAG